CGCACGCGATACGCCTGATTAGGCGGCGAGAACACTCGTGAGAGCTGCAATTTCAGCTTCGTCCAGAAGTGAAACGCCGCTTCGACCGAAGTGCCGCATGTCAGTGCCCATATTCGCGCTCGACCACCGAGCTTGGAGATGGCTAGCGCCACGCGCTGTTGCTCGGTATGGAGTGTGGCGGACGCCATAGCTATCTATGCCCTCTCACTCAAAACAAGAGATGTTCTCCATCCTTGCCCTCGAAGGTCTTCACGCTCACCATGAGCGGCCTGGGTTGGGTGGAGCCATCCGTTGTTGACGATGGCGTCATGGACGCAGTCGATGCCAGCATCTTCTGCTCTAGATTCTCCAGCAGAGTATTTTCGAAGAACGAAAATGCCTCTAGGCTCGCGTTGATCGCTTCAGGTCCTTGCGAAGCGAGGTGTGGCACGCCCTCAGGGCCAAGCTGAGTCATCAGCTTTTTAAGTCCATCCTGCATGCCCTGGGGCAAATAGGAGAACTGCTCCATCCTCACGGAGGATCAATACTGTACAAGAGCTACCAAGTGCAGCGGGACTGCCGTAGCTCTTTGCTTAAAGGAAGGTCACCGGCCTTCATTCTATACTAGATCCAGTACGAGTGTAGCGGATCGTAATCCGCTAAGAGTTAAACCACAACCATAACCCAAGGAAAAAAAACTCCGTTTAAAATGTAAACTGTGTTACCATTGTTTCATTTGCGGCAGAGCCGCCTAAAATTAAAGATAGAAGTTTTCTCATTAAATAGTAAAACTAATAAAAATGCATAACTAGTGACAGTCCAGTTACGTACTGGCTTCTTACTAAGGTGTAGCCACACCATTGTGTGGTCACATCATCTAGTGTGACCCAGCCTTTCATACTAGGGTACGTGTAACCTCGTTACAAGTAAATCGCAAATTATGCTGATATTTTACGGCATTTCACCATCTCCAAAAAAGGAGTCACGTTGCGCTGGGGTACCACATAAGTGTTCGACAGTCACACTTTTTAAGGAAAAAATCGTGAGCGCCACGATTTTGACCCGTTCGATTTGAGTCGGCCACCTGGCCGTCAATCGCTTACTTCTTTGAAAAAATAGGAATTCATAAATAAAATTTGACTTAGATTTTTATTTTTATCAAATTTTAACAAAGCCTATGAAGTTTCTTGTAGGATCTTCATAATACTTCTGTGTTTTTGGACTTTGGTGCTCTTCTTACTGACTTTGGTGCTCTTCTTATTGACTTTGGTGCTCTTCTTACTTTTGTATTTGACTTTGGTGCTCTTCTTTTCGGGAACAACAGGCATATTGGGAAGTTCGACATTTGATGTCAAACTATTGCGAACATCTCTGTCTCTCTTCTTCAAAGGAAGTAAGGCATTTGAGATCGCACCCTCTGAAAAAACCGCAAATTGTCCGTTTCTCTTTTTCGGAGGAAGATTGGTATCTGGGATGATACTCTTCTTGAATTCAAATAAATTCGGGGGAAACACCCGATTTCTTCATTTAGAGGCAACTGATGTAAGCTTATTGCGCTCTTCATGAACTGGAATGAGGTCGCGTTCGCGAAGACTTCGGGGTTTTGACTGCGTGGCCAAAACTTCACGCGAATGAAACGGTTGCTGAAGATCAGGATGATTGACTTCTGCAGCTTCGTGTCGATTGAGTGTGACAAGCATTGCAATTGCGACGATGATTAAGCGGGACATTGAGGAAACTGATCGGACGGAGAGAGAACGTTTGCGTTAAAGTGTAAATTTTATATTGAGCACTCTCAATACTGCGGTAGTCTTTTCTAATCTTTTTTGAAACTCCTCTGTGCATCAGATCGTAAAACAGCCGGTGCTCCTCAGGATAACATGGTGGACACTGACTTTTTTGCAAGATACAACTTGAGATCGCAAAACTTTCTTCGATGCCTATTAAGCAGTAGTAGAAAGTATTTGATTCTCCGTATTTACTCATCAGCATTACGACAACTACGCTGATTCAAACGTTTTGTTCTATCTCTTTCACTTGCTGGGTACTTGGCCTTCCTTCCAAAAATGCACATCCCGATAGCCAGCATGTGAGGAAAACAGCCGTTTTATCGGTCCGGAGTTTTGAGGCATGAATTGGAAACGGTATCCAGTCTCTTCGACACATGAAAGCCAAAATGATTAAATAAAGTTTAAGTACCGCCGCAACGAATTGAGAAGATTTGACATGTGAATATTTGAGTTGATGCACACTGGAACATTTGAGCAGTCCCCAGCTCTAGTATCAAAACTGTTGCAATGGTCCAAAGTGCGTGTGCATACCTCTACTCGGGTGAAAGACCACAGTGATAGATGACAAACGTATGAGCTTCTCTCGTCCGGACTCATATTGGACACAAAAGTAGAAGGGATTGTTTTATTCTTACACTCATATCACCAGAAGATGATCACGAAATAAGTGTATACATACTTCTTGTTTAATTCATGCATGTATTCCAGCCATAGAGCTTCCAATGTCTTCTGAACCTCTTCATCAGTTTTCATATGGAAGTAATTCGTTGGTTCAGTCATTTACTCATACTTTTAACAGCCTGTTTTGGGATGTCAAGTATCCAATATGCATGTTTAGTGTGGTGGTTCAAAAGATGATGAGAGGATGCGGAATCTGTATCGAAGGATCCGCAAATTTGTTTAGTTTCCAAGGTTAATGTGTAAGCAAGCCGCAACGCTCAGACTTCCAGCTCTTATTGCACACCATTATAGCTGCATGTGTCTGAGCGTATCCCGTACAGAGCTATCTATATCTACCATCTGGCATGATGGCGCACATTTTATGTGGTCAAGCCAGACAGCAACGACATTTTATGATGCATATGGACAAGCTTAAGACTCACACTTAATACCAGATGGAGAAACGCAGCCTGATTCCTGTATTTTGTGTAGACGTGTGAGAGCTGACAATGAAGATTATTCCGCACGAGTACTAAGGCAGGATGTGCAGATAGGAAGTTATACTACTGACTAGCCTGGATACTGGCGATAGGGGATATCAAAAGAGGAACGGTTTTTGAGATAAAACAGGCTGCAAAAGAAGTAGAATAATGAATGAGTGTGGAGTGGAAGGGTAAGATAGAAAGCGAATGCAGGTTGCTTTGAAAAAAGCAACACATCTGCGAGCATGATTTTTATATTCAAGCGAGTCTAAATATTGCTGGTAAGGGTCAAAGCAAAGATGATGCCGTGTTCACTGCTTTAAGTTACTAATCTTGAAAGATGGTCGTCAGTATGTAGAATCTGACTTGTGTATTAGATACAGTGGTAATACGATGAATTTGACGAGGTGTTGATGGGAGGAGCTCAAAAAGTCTGAGAATCTTGCCAAGAACGTCTCACCCAGGGTGACATGATTCCACAAACAATAAAATAAGTCGAAGCCTAAAGAAAATGTGCATGAAGAAGCAGATAGTGCTAAGCAGGGTTATGTCATGAGTTTTAGCGATGGTATTTTAAATTATGATTCACATCAACAGAATATAATTAATGCGCTATTGTTGTACACATAAGTGCGACGTGAATGTCCGCTCAAGTGTGTACGTTCACATGTGAATTTGTAAATCTATCACATGTTACAAACTGTGGATATCAGAATATCGGTATATATGAAGATGCTGGAAGTTGCAATCGAAGGTACGCTGGAGAAGAGAGTTATATTATGAGATACAGCGTATGTATCAGCATTGTTTCAAAAAGCATTGACCAATAGATATATTTTTTTAAATGTTTGAGCAAACTATTAGCGTTGAATACCTGTGATGCTCTTGGTTCTGCTCCTGCTAGGACCGCACAAGTCCATTCGGTGCTTTCTGTTAGCGCAGACTCTAAGAGTCAATTCTTCACCTTCCTCTGAGCAAAGTTCACAGCAATCCCGTTGCATTTGGAGATGCTTGAAGCTAATCCCACGATCGAGTCATGAAAAGACTGTATTTTCTGCGAGAACAAGCATGATTTGGTAGAATGCCTGTATTCGGGACAAGCAGACCAGCTCAAAGAGATTTTGTCTATCTTGGTTCCCGATGGGGTCAAGCAAAGGGCGAAAGCGGCCAAATTCGCTGGTGAGGTTAGAGTAGCCCATCTGGGCGCCAGTATAGAAAGAGAGGATGATGTTGAGCGGCTAATGAGACCCTGGTGGGGGGGGTCTAGAAGAGCGAGTAGAGACAGTTACGAATTCAGCCTAGCTTCAAATGGGGCCACAGCATGTCGTGCTTGCGATTTACAAGCTCACAGGCCGTACGCGAGAATACCTCGGTCAAAAAGGCGCTCTCGACGCTTGGCAATCTAAAAACAACAGATGCTTTGGGTGCCCAGTCGCCTAACTAGGCGCATCGGGTGTGTTAGAAGCTTTTGACTCCCATCAAGGGTAGAGAGTACTGGCAAAAACTGACATTGTTTTAAAACTCTAATTGCCGCAGTGTCCAGTCCCGGTGGCGGGAACGATACCCATTTAGTAAAGAATTCTCGAATGGGAGCAAATCCCGTGCCGTGTGTTTGAATGGAGTGTTGGGATGAAAGCTCCACAATAGTGCCCTAGATGATGGACCTTAGCAATGCTGAGGAATCAAAGAAAAAGATCTTGATTGAAAGCAGTTGCGCCATTACAAACCGATGAAACAATTGCAGCAGTACAAGACATCTATTGAATGCGTATCCCCTTCGCTCTCGGCTGAGAGGTTCGAAGATTTCATCTCCCATGCAAGAGCACTATGAAACTCTCACAATCAAACGTCAATCTCTATAGGAGTAGTACAAACCTTGTATGAGGGACTAAGCTCTATTGTTTGACATGAACGTGATAGTCAAAAGGACCCAACCATAAAAGAAATGACTTCCGCTGGAGGAAGGAAAATCACAGTTCAAGGTTGTTGGTTTTTGCTTGCATGGTCATGGTTTGTAACGTCGAAGAAAGTGGGATATGGTTCACAAGCATTGTGAAATTATGTATGATGTGCGACTATCGAAGACAATCGGAGAACAAATGCGGATACTATATATATACGTCTTACGTCAGGGATTCTAATAAAAGTGTCGAAGATTTTAAATCTTGACATCGTCGATCGTTGTATAATACTTGAGATACGATCTCTTCTATGTATGGCGTTGCTAGAACGCCGTGAGATATTAGTCAACTCGAAGTCGAATACGAAAAATGCAAAACATTTCGCTCCTGGTGGATCATTGGCGAGTCATGAGCTCAACTCGATTAAAAATAAACGCACTTTTAGCGCAGGCACGAAGCTGCGATGAAATCATGAAAGACATTAGGTTGATCGAAACTAATAGCAAGTGTGTTGCTTGATGCCTCGGATAGAGCTCACTTGAAGAGTTGGTAGCAAGTATCGGTATTTGGACAAGACGGTAAGATACAATTTTGTGTCGCCGTCTCCAGAGCGAATCTTTGTTAAGACAAGAAATACTGACTGTATGTCGTGGATCCAATAGCAAAACGGTGATGAGCCGCTGTGAGTTGCTCTGCCAGGGCCGGTGTAGAGTGAAAACAATCGGATGTCGTTATCTTCTGTGCTATAGCCATAGCGTTGAGAAGCAATTATAAGTCACAGTTGAAGGAATAGGCCCTAAAGATACGATAGATAGTTTATCCTTGTCACCGTGCAGCGGTACTGCTGAGTCCACCGTGTAGAACACTGAAGCTCGACGGGGAAGCGGCAAGAACGATGATTTACTCGTTAATGAAGCGACCGAGGTATTCCTAGCGATGGTGAGTCATCCCTCGATACCCCCGGCGGAAGCTGCTGCTGAGATGAAGAAATAACCTCTCGGGGACCCGCGCGATAAATTCCGATATAATAAGATTTCGGAATTGGGATTAAATAGTTCCGGAAAAGACATGAGCTCATCACGCATAATGGGGTGACTCACAGAGCACTTCGTGCGAGGTGCGGGACAGGATATCTCAGAAAAAATAAATATCATTTTCCTTCTTCAATGAAGGGATATCGAAACGTGAGGACGAACACGCGTGTTACCCTTGTAAAGGGGAGTACACCATTAACTCCCGGAATCAGATATTATGTCTCACGGCAATGACCCCTGTGTCACTGGTATTTTCTTTTGTGCGAAATTCGAAGCGAGCCCGGGAAAAAATGCAATCATCACGCTCACCTCCGACGATCTGTTTCAGAACGATTATCGCAAGAGGCAAAGTTTGCATGGTTATCGATAGCTAAACGCAGCCGAAATTTCGGCGTAGATATCAACCCTCTCACAGGATATGCTGTATGACAGCTTGATTATCTGCTTTTTGATCAGTGCCATTGGATTTCCCGTTGCTCACAATTAAATGCTGACGAGAGATAGCAAAACTCTGTCACTGAGACATGTTTTTCAAGTGGGATACTCTGGGGATGGCTCAGAGACTGCGCAATAATACAAAGGATGCACCAACGTTTTTCAGTTATATGGTGACACAGCAGTTCGGTCTACATCGCGGTAATGCGCAAAACTTTTCCGACCATATAATCGACTTTAGTCGTGCATAGCACGGGAAGTCAAATGTGAGACCATATTGAACTCTTACGAGCGGTGCATAAGCGTATGTATTTGAATAACGCTTTTTGCCAATAATGACAAACGTGTTTTTGGCGCCCAAAAAACGTTCATGCGTTGCTTTATTGAAAAACAGGACCTGCGGTGAAATATGTGAAGATCAAGGCATTGTAGATCGGCCACTGCCAATATCTCGCGAAAGTTGCGCGGCCAGACTAACAACTTGCACAGATACTGTGCAAATATGCCGTTATGGTACGACCCCAAACTAATTTCCTTCAGAAGGATTTTAGTTAGTGTTGTGGTGCGACGTAATACGCGACTTTCAAAGCTGTGAAAGAAAGCCTCGTATGTGCGTCGATTCTGGGTTTTTCGAATAGAAGTATGCCATTCTTCTACGTCGTATTTGATACTTCAATCTATGTTATCAGCCGCGATTTGCTTTTAGCTGATACAAATGGGCAAGATTGCGTGATCGCGTTTGATTATCGCCATCTGAAAGTTGATCAACGAATTCATGACAAAAGAACTGCTTACAGTATAGAATTTATTCGTCAAGTTAAAAGTGCACCCGCTCGGTTTGATGCCATTGGTAATATATTTAAATCATGCGTCGTTGCGCCCAGTAGGGTCACCATCACACTTTTCACCAAACATGGCAAGACTCTTATTCTTTTCTGCCAATTATAACTTTGAGCTCAGCTTAAAGCCGAGTCAGTTTGTTAGTGTCGCCGATACCCTGTTGCATCATCCTGACCATGATTTATCGCATGTCGAAATGGTAACGTCGTACGGTCAGACACAATATGCGTGGTACCGCAGAAACTATTAGTTTCAAAATTTAGAGGTTGCTTTATCGAAGCGCGCTATGTCTTATCACAAACCTTGCTGTATAACAGCACTGATCCACATGACACTTAGCTTGTAATGTTATCACTGCCGGTACAAATACTGTACGAGGTGCATGATAAACCTTGGGGCATTCACCTTTGCAAGGGTATGAGCATACTACGGCAAGTTTTATGTATTGGTAGCTCAACAGCAAAAGTGGATAAACACATGTGTGCGTATGTGCACATCGTCTCATTGGGTTATAAACTGACCGCAATTCGAGGCTTCATTGGCTAGCCTGTCGGTTCTGACGGAACGCTGGTAGTACATCAATATTTATTTTTCCGAGTATCTCCAAAAGACGCGTCCAGTAATGCTAGTATTGTGGTATTTGTGGACCGACTTCTCATTTCGCTGCTGCCAGCAACGATACGACCGGTTAGAATACAGCTAAGCTGCTCCTCGACGATTTAAATCGCCAACATTGCTTGCCGGTAGCCATCGTATCGGGTAAAGTTATGCGCGTTATAGCAAAGACTTGGCATATATTTATCGAGATCAAACGCTATCGCGGGAAAGATCTTATTGAAGCTGTTTTTGGCCATTTCCGACTATGTGACGACAACGCTACTACAGATCACTCACGGTTGTAGCCAAAGATGTCAAAGTTATACTCTAATTATCTTGAAGAGAATGTAAACACAACCTGTGAGTTACGTAGGCTTGCTACATCCATATCATGAGCCCGATCTTATCTGTCATGAAAATTACTGCTACATACATCACTTTTAACGACAAAAATGCAGAGGTGACCATCAAATCGCTATTCCAATGTCTCGGTAGTGTTTCGACAACCAGATCATGCGCAAGGAAATGCCACTTGCTACCTCGTAGGTTGTAAGCCGTCACAGATGGTTCTAGTTGAAGCTTTACTCAAGCTGAGCACGCAGCCCTCCAGAAATACCTCACAAAATTACTAAGAGCTCGAAAGAAATTAAAAGTACGACATAAAGAAAAAACCTTATACAAAATTTACAAAAGTGTGACTCTCCTTCGCCAAGATCTAATTTTGAGCTATACTAGTCAAGTGGTGTGGCTGTCGGGGTAGCTCACGAGAGCGCCTTATCATACGAACTAAGCGTTAAAGCTAGAATATGTACTAGCGAGTTTTTCATCTAAACTTAATAAAGTTTCCTCTTTCTTAATGGATCTACGGCCCAACCCGAGTCGGCTTGAGGCTCGATAAAGTTAAAAGTTGGGTTCTTCTTGCGCAAACTTTCTACATTGATAATTGTGCTGTGATCGCAAAACGCGAGCGTTCAGCACACATCTACGTTGTAAACACGTTAATTGGCTCTTGAGAATACTTGACAGTAGAGCATGTGTTGTAACTGTGCAACCGGTGGCCGACTTGAATACTTGAATGGACCGCAAGACATTTCGTTCTTTAGCTTTCAACCTATCATGATCGAGATACCTGTGGTGCGACAAGATTTCCACGCACGTTGCACAGAGGAAACACTAGCTCTAATACTTCGCGTTAGCACATGCTTAGAGAATAAGCTCATGCGCTCCTTCAGAAGCGGAACCGAACACCTCTACCGAAACTAAATGTCTAGCATATCGGCTTTTTGATAAGTGCATGTATTTAAAATAATGCTTCTTGGCTTTATCGTATACATATGGGTTCTTTTATCTCCTCAATGAGACTGTCTACCATTCTCTTCGGAGTTCCATCATCTTCATAAATTCCAATTTTTCGGTACTTATGAAAATTCACAATAACACCAAAATTCAATGTGATTTTCTGCATTTTCTTCCAAATTTCACCTTTTGTGAATTTTATAATACATTCCAAAACTTTGCACTGAATATATTTCCAAAGCTATTAACAATGAAAAGCAAGCCTGACACGTCATCTTCCGCACCCGCTGTTGTCTCTTTCTTTTCTGTGATTGCAGTAGGAGTGACTGCAGTCGTTATCGCTCTATTAACACTTGTATATCCAGAATCATTACAACACTTTGTGTCGACGTTTGCAAGCGTGGAGAACAAACCAAACGTGGTAAATTGTACTGCAGCTGAACAATATTTGACTGACGTGCTGCCTGTTAAAGGCTTTCACATTTTATGTGTCCAGAAACGTATTGATAACAAGTGAGTTTACGTAATTATTCATGCGAATATAAGTTTTTCTGTTAATTCGAAGTGTATGTGGTGTAGATTGGATATTACAGCGTTTAAAGATGGCAATGCGCCTTCTTTACAGAATCAAACGTCTTTTGAACATTTACAGACGCATTTGGAAGTTCTTCTGGATATTCAAATGCCCGACGATGAAGTTGCAAGAAAGTACAAGCAACCGTACGCACTTTTCACGCCTGAGGGCAAGAGATTAAAAAGACTGGACGACGTCGTCAACAATGTTGTCTTTCTATTTGAAGGAGGACAATTTATCTGGCCGGGTATTCGTATTGGACACAAAAGTAAGTGAATCTAATTTTTAGATTATTAACAAACAATTAAAATGTTTGTGCTATTCATTTTTAGCTTTGGTCAAGGATGTAACTGGTAAAGGAGATGTCGTGGTGGAAACGTTAAGCATGATTCCACTGGTTTTTAGTGTGGAGGAATTTCTTAAAGACGACGAGATTGACATTATTATGAATTTATCACTAGACCATCTCAAGCCATCAACGGTGGCACTATTAGATGGACATGAAAATCGAGCGGCTACGGATTGGCGAACAAGTACGACGTACTTCTTGTCGTCGAACAAACACCCGAGACTTGGCGAGATTGATCAACGGGTTGCTGATTTGACGAAAGTTCCCATTGAACATCAAGAAGATGTACAGGTGCTGCGCTACGAAAAAACACAGAAATATGACCACCACACAGACTATTTTCCGGCAGAACTTCATAAAAACTCGCCTGATGTTTTGAAATCGATCGATTATGGGTACAGAAATCGTATGATTACCGTGTTTTGGTACATGTCGGACGTCGCAAAGGGTGGACAAACAATTTTCCCACGTTTTGGTGGAGCGCCTCGTCCGCAAACGATGAAAGACTGCACGAAGGGTCTAAAGGTGCCTCCCAAAAAGCGTAATGTGATTGTTTTCTACAGTTTGTTGCCTAATGGAGATGCGGATCCGATGAGTCTTCACGGTGGGTGTCCTGTTGAAGACGGTATCAAGTATTCTGGCAACAAGTGGGTGTGGAACAAGGCGAGGTCGTAAGTAAAACGACAACGAAAGGTTGTAATGGAGTGAGGTACGCCGCTCATGCCGATGAATTCAAGAAAGACAATAACTAGCTAAAGAATGCATTGCTAGCAAGGGTGAATGCTGTCTGCATTGTAAAAGGGATGACAATTACTCATCTTGGCTGTGTGTTTTGAGGTATTTACCATATTAACCAGTTAGCACGCTCTTCGTTGCATCGCTACAGCCGATCGTGCTACAAAATTAGTCAGTTTTCTCTTCCAATGTTCTTGTTTTTCTCAACTAAGAATTGAGTTGCCCATGGTGAGATATAGTTAAAGAATATCTTGCAACGGGGTGGCGTGCATTGTATCTTGACTCAGTTCAGAAAAGCAACATACTCCATAATATAATGAATAGGTATATCGCACTTGGGAACAGAACAGAGAGCATTGTAGATAAATGAATATTTGAATTGATCGCGATATATTTAGGTAATTCGATACTATCTGTATACTCTTCTGTATATAGTATGAGTGTTAAGTGTACACACTAAAATTAGTATATTCTCGTTTCATTTTGAAGACAATGTGTGACAATAAATTCTCCATAAGCAATTTGGGGTTCACTGTATCCAACACTATTACGCATAGAGACATACACATATGGCTCAATGGGCCACAAAAACAATGCGGGGTTTTTGCAGCCCGCGATTTTTAGATGATAATCGATGAGGCAAGAGCGTGTATAATAAATCTCCTAGTCTTGGCCCAGCACCCTTACTCTCACCAAAATACTTACAGGAATATTGCTCTCCGTCTGGTCCTCTTAGAAGCTGTTCAAATTTCTCGCCTTATATCAATCTAGTTACGAAATCTCCGTTTAATCCCTACTAAAATATTACAGCACAGCCGCAAAAATACAATGACGTACAAGCCAATACTTATACGACAGACCCGAGTCAGCGAACGGAGCTTTCTCGCTTGCAAGTCACATGACTTTGCACACCCCATTGGGCCGTAATTATGAATATAATTCTTTTAGGGTTGCCCACCCTGCCGCAACAGAAATCTTACACGCTTATGAATGCGAATCGCGCGTTCAGAGCGAAATCGGACGCCGGAAATTCGCTATGCGAGCATTTTGCGACCTAGCAGTTCGCCAGTTCCTAAAATATTTGACTGCACCTAGAAATTAGTGGTCGAAAAAAGTGTATTTCCCATCATGATTGTACCATTGGCGCAGAAACCTAGCAAACATGCCCAAGTGTATTGCACTTAATACGCGTTGTGATTGAAAAATCTACGTCTTCCCGTCTCCTGGCTTTACATGCCATTATCAGTGCAGCAGACGGAACGTTGATTAATGCGTGACTTTGTCAGTTACAAAGCAGGACGTGAACGTCGAGACGGATGAATGCCATTTTAAGGTCTTGTTTTTAGCAATTTGGCTCATTTCTTTGAGCCTGCTGGGATAGCTATCGACCAATTCTCAACTTAGAAGCAAGGGAAATTCCTACTCGCTCGCGAGAGACGCGGTGCACTGCGCGACAATGTGGAGCGACTAAGACAGAAAGATGTACCGAATTGTAAACGACAACAGCACTGACCTCTAATTCCAACGACTTTTCGAAATGAGAGTATCACTTCCACTTTACCATAACAATCTCAGCACTGGTGACCTGCCGGTCTAAATTTTGCTCAAAATGGAAAGAACCAGCGCAGATTATCGCTCAGATTTGGCGAAGAGCGATTATCCACGGGCTGACTATCGTGGTTTCACTCGGTTGTTAAGCTAAGTCAACTCTATCTAAGAAGTTGGCGCGCAGTCGACACTGGCATGATTATTGTATGCGCTCTGTGCGCTGCGCAATTGGACGGAATGACTGATGCATGACGGGACATACCCGGATCGCTGCTTTAGAGCCAGAGGTTGCTTTACAATTGGGAATAGTTGAAACGGTCATACTTCTGCAGCATAGCGCTTCACACCCGAATAAGTTGTGAGAACAGCGTCCAGGTAAGATATTTGCAAGTCCTCCTTAAAACACAGGTTGTAGCCACATTCTCATCATGAATGGAGCGTTCAAGATATGCCCATAAGGGCTTTAATGTAGCGAGTTCGCAACTTTGAAGTATAGACTGCTGGGACTGATATGTGAGGAGGTAACAGCGTCTTATTGTTTCGTATTCCTGCTACAAATACATGCATGTTCCACCATCCTCGATTGCGTTTGGTCAACTTGACACCTGGCTATAGCATAACACTCCACCATGTGAGATGGAAACCGCGATCCCGCTACAATGTCAAGTCTGGCTGATACAATTGAGTCAAACAGTGTCGTCAGCCTCTTTCTACCAAGACTGAAGCCACGTCGTGGCTGTACCAAGGGGACGGCATAAGCCCACACATTTCAAAAAAGTACGTCGGTCGCGGCACATACTTTATTGTCAAATGCAGACTCATTTTGCTAAGCACCACGGTCGCTCTGCAAGATTTTCGTGTGATTCCACTTCGATGCACTAAAACCAAGTTCAGTCTAACTTTCAATCATCGAACCTAGGCTCAAGTGGGAAGTCACTTGGCCGTGCGATGGTGGGTGGACAGGAGGGCCCACAAATCAAAACAGCCATAATGCAATGAGGGAATTCAAAACCGGTCCCCACAAAGTCGGATAGCTACCAGCATCCCGCAGCATAGAAAGCTTGATCCTAGTGCGTGGTTTTCGGTAGCTCTAACCATTTATATGAGTATACTAAAGTGGACGAGCAATCACACCCAAAACGTCCATCTGCCGTACCAACCCGCAATTAAATGGGCGTGTGGGCTAAAGGACCAAAAAAGCACCCTGGTATCGGGGTAGCCTAGGATCGACTTGACTAAAATATAGTCTATTACGGCATTGTTGACAGTAGCAAGCTGCTAGAATCATAAAACCGGTATTTTAGGGCGTGTCTTATCAAAGACCAAAGGTTTAACCTGTTATTGTGATCGGCTAGTATTTTGCCGGAATCGACAGGATGACCGAAGGCGCCGGTGCATGCAGCGAGAATTTAGTCTGTTGACGTAGTTGCACATGCGCACGTTAGAGACTACCCATTTGCAAATGTTGGGCTGGTACTTTTCGAGAGAAAATGTCATCTCTCATTCTCAATTGCCATATTATGTGCCTTAACCACTTTATATCTCATCAAAAGGTACCATCTCTCGTTGCGTGTTAAGCCGGCCATACCAAACTTTTGGTACGGAATAGTGGTGCGAACATGCAAATAGACGCTTTAAGAAACGGTGTATGCCCTCAATTTACACCTTGCGATCCAAAGCTTCGACGGTGCAGCACATGTAGCATCTGAATCGATTGCTGTACGCCACCATCGTGACAAGTTTTGTATGCTGCAGTGCCGAGGATTGCTCCTGTTTTTAATCATCAAAGCGGCTTACTGTCTCCGTCTTCAGGGCATATTTTATGATGTGAGTCGCAATTAGAATAAATAGGCGTTGACATAAAGCAGGGAGGTCTATCCTTGCTATTTTGTCAGAACACAGCTGGATGCGCAACACACAACGCAAATAAATAAAGATTTATGCGATTCATCAATCGATATATATTCACACCTAAAAAAAGTAGCTGAGAGAGTACAGATACACAATATATTCCTTTGCTCCGCATACATGCCTTGACAGAGACTGAGAATCATCCCAAATAAATTAATTACAAGACAGTAAAACTTCCGAGTTGGTAGCGATAGAACAGAGAAGAAGTCAAGCTCATCATCGATCAAGGATAAGTCCGTAAGCGAGAAATTGAAGAGCGTTGAGTATAAAGTGTATCGACCATTCGAGGATTTTCCGATTCTTCTGGCTTCTATTTAAATTAGACACGACGTGATGACAAGGGATCCACCACGGGTGCTGCCCCGAAGCTGGGAGATTCTCAAAAAAGATTTGTTTCCTTGAACAAAGTACTGCGTTGCAAGCCAAGGGAACATAAATACTTATTTGTGAGAGAAAGAAAGAAGAACCCACTTTACACTGTCTTTCTATGTCAGAAAGGCTATAAGCAGGCTGAAAATTATGCATGTTTTCTGTGTGCAAAATGCAGCTACCAGTTTGGCGCGAAAGGAGGTAATAAAGCAGCAGAACAGTATCGTCGGTGCAGTCGTACTGTGCTTTCGACTTGATCGGCGAACATGACCAACTTTGAATTTGATTGCCGCACTAAGGCGAGCCTTATAGGTTAATACGTGCAAGTCATCCACTTGAACCGAGAGCAAAATGAGCGCCAGGACTTTTCTCCTCGAGCGCTTTGCCTGTATAAACATAATCACTCATAAGATATACTGTTTGTGAAATGGATGCAAAATGCGTCCCCTTCAAGCAGAATGTGCCTTGGGTATTTATAGCTGACACAAATTTCGATGAGTATAATACAAAAATGCGTAAAGGGTAAGGATAACACACCTTTATTTGTGCTAACGCTTTGCAAGCTACCTTCCGTGAAGCAGACGTAATGACAAAAATATATCACATCCTGCTCCAGCTATTAACAGTTTTGCGCATCTCCATGTTACAATAGTTACATTTACCAAACAAAAATAACACATACACCAAGGCTGGCCCTTGCTTGTGGATTTCGCGCTGCAACGCGTGGTTCGGTATCTTTTCTTTTCAAGGAATAAGAAGTACAGGGGTAGGTCAGGCCGTAACTGACAATGGCACGAAGGAAAACCCGTCGAAACAGAACCTGAAATCCCCGAGAGGTTTCACATTGAGAAAATACCCCCATTTCACAAAGTGCTAGCGACAGTCCGAATATACCCATCGTCTCGCTCAACGTCTCAGCCAATACTTGCTCACCAAGTTGTGCTTACATTGAGGTGACCTCCCACGACTGGCTCTCGTGCGTTCTTTTAGTTGCGGCGTCACGTCGGCTCTGTCGGAGACTCTAGTTTGCGTTCAAGAGTTAGAAGACTCAGATATCAGATAAACCACCCGAGACCCGCCATCGCAACAACTGGACTGAGGGAATTCCAGCGTTTCAGAGCACGTCAACGATCCATAGTAATGGGTAACATACAAAGGATAAGGAATCTGATGCTCCATATTCATCAAAAGCTTCATATCTGACTGACACATAAATACGGGATCAAAATATGGCATTAAAATGATACTACATACGTTCGCATTATATTTGGGATATCAAGCATATCGCTCAATCCCTTCGATGTAGAGCGGTCGCAACGTAATCTTAAAGACCACAGACGCTGCATACCTTGTTAAGCTAAGTGCCAATAGCTTAAAATTTGTGTTTGTT